AAGAAAGAAAGAAAGAAAGAAAGAAAGAAAGAAAGAAAGAATCATACCCAAAAGGAGTAGATGGCAAGAAATAGTCAAACTCAGGACTGAAATGAATAAAATAGAAATAAAGAAAACAGTACAATAAAAACATCAAACAAAGAGTTGGCTCTTTGACAAAATCAACAAACAAGCAAACACTTATCCAAATTAACTAAAAGGTAGGGAGAAAATATCCAACCTAAGAAAATCAGAAATGAAAAGGGGAACAAAACATCAGGCACTGAGAAAATCCAGAGAATCATAACAAAATACTTCACCACCCTATAATCAACCAATTTTAAAATTAAAAAAAGATTAATTTTCTCAACAGAAACCACTAACCACATTTAAATAAAAAACAGATACACAATTTAAATGGACCTATAACCCCTAGTGAAATAGAAGCAATCATTAAAAGTCTCTCAACTAAAAAAAATGTCCAGGGACAGATGGTTTAACACAGAAGTCTATGAGACATTCAGAGGAGAGTTAACATCAATACTCCTTCAATTATTACACCAAATATAAAAAGAAGGAGTGTTGCCTACTTCATTATAACAGGTCAAAGTTAATCATAATACCCAAATTACGCATCAACCCAACAAAGAAATAAAATGGTTGACTAATTTCATTTATGAACATAGATACAAAATAATCAATAAAATACTTCCAAACAGAATCCAAGAATACATAAATAAATCATCCACCAAGATCATTCCAGAGATGCAAAGGTGGTTCATTATACTAATATCAATAAGTGTAATCCATCATATAAACAAACTCTCAGAACAAAACACATAATATTCTCATTAGATGCAGATATAGCCTTTGACAAAATCCATCAACCCTTCATGATAAAAGTACTAGAAAGATTAGAGATAGAAGGAGCATGCATAAACATAATAAAGGCAATTTACAGCAAGCAAATAGCCAAAAACAACTTAAATAGAGAGAAACTCAAAGAAATTCCACTAAAAACAGGGATAAGAAATGATTATCCACTCTTTCCATAGCTATCCAATGTAGTACTTGAAGTCATAGCTACAGCAATAAAGGTTCCTGAAGGAGGTGAAGGGGATACACATCGGAAAGAAAAAGTCAAAGTATTGTTATTTAAAAATGATGTGATAGTATACATAGGTGACCCTGAAAATACACTGGGGAACCCACACAGCTAATAAACACTTCCAGACAAGTGGCTGTATACAAAATTAACTGACAAAAATCCGTGGCCCTCCTATATACAAATGACAAACAGACTAAGAAAGAAATCAGAGAAACAACACCTTTCAAAATAGCCTCCAACAATATAAAATATCTTGTGGTATCTTTAACCAAATAATGGAAAGGTTTGTATGATAAAAACATCGTCTTTGAAGAAAAAAATGAAAAAAGATATGACAAGCTTTGAAAAGATCTATCATTTCATGTATCACAATGATAACCAGAGTAAAACGACCATCCTACCATCCTACAGATTTAAAATTCCAACGCAAATCTTTGCAGACCTTGAAAGGACAATTCTCAAATTCATATGATACTCCAGAAAGTTTTATATTAACTTGAACATGCTAAAGTCAGTTGACAGGAAGAAACCTCAGTTAAGAAAATGCCTCTACTCTGCTGTAGAGCAACATTAATAAAAATACCGTGGTACTGGCATAAAACCTGACTTGTGGACCAATGGAATCAAATTGAAGACCCTGACATTAATTTGCACACCTGTAAACACCTGATTTTTGACAAAGAAGCCAAAACTGGACAATGAACAAAAGAAAGCGTCTTCAGCAAATGGTGATGGCATAACTGTATGTCAACAGATAGAAGATTGCAAATAAATCCATATTATTGCCATGCACAAAATTCAAGTACAAAGATCAAAGACCTCAACAAAAATCCAGTCACACTGAACCTAATAAAAAGAAAGTACAAAGAAAATATGAAGTAGCCTTGAATGCATTTGCACAGGAGATCACTTCCTAAATATAACAGCAGTAACACAGACACTGAGAGCAACAATTAATAAATGGGACCTTCTGAAATTGAGAAGACATGGTAAATAAGACAAAACAACAGCCTACAGAATGGAAAAAGATCTTCATCAATGCCCAAGCACCAGGCCAAACTTAAGAATTCCAGTAGAACAGAGGAAAGAGGGATTCTATGAGCAAAGGGCATCAAGAAAATAATGGGGAAACCTACAGAGATAACCAAACCAAGCTAGTGGGAACTCATGAACTTTACACCAACAGCTGTGAAGCCTCCATAGAACTGGACTATGCCCTCTGCATAAATGAGACAGTTGTATAGCTTGATCTGATTAATGTTCCCCCTGAAAGTAGATCAGGCTCCATCCCTGGTGCATGAGCTGGCTTCTTTGAGCCCATTTACTATGGTGGGACAGCTTGCAGAGCCTTAATGCAGGGAGAGGGGCTTAGATCTGACTCAACTGAATGTACCACACACTGCTGACACCCCATAGGAGGCTTTACCATTTTGGAGGAGGCAATAGGTGGTGCCTTCAGGGAAGGCTTGAAGAGACAGGAGGAGGGAAGAGAGGGGCATCAGTGGTTGGTATGTAAAGTGAATAAAACTTTTCTTAATTTAAAAAAGGAAAAAATTTAAAATGAGAGAAAATGCCTCCATAAGATCAGGCTGTAGACAGGCCCATATGCATTTTGTTAATGAGTGATGATGATCTTATTTAATGATTAATTAGGGAGGGTCTATGTCATTGTGGATGGTGCCACCCCTAGTTTAGTGGTCCTGGTTTCTATAAGAAAGAAGGTTGAGGAAGCCATGAGGAGCAAACCAGTAAGCAGCAGTCCATGGCCTCTACATGAGCTCCTGCCTCCATTTCCTAGCCCTGTTTGAGTTCCTGTTCTGACTACGTTCAATGATAAACAGTGATATGAAAGTATAAGCTGATAAAAAGCCTTTCCTCCCAAAGTTGCTTTTGTCATGGTGTTTCATTGCTGTAATAGAAATCCTAAGTCAAGTTCATATCAGCATAGTGGGGTACTGCTGTGAAAGACCTGACCATGTTGTTTGGGGAGGATTGTGCAAGGAATTTGGAACTTCGGGCTAGAAAAAAATCAATGAATGTTGAGAGCTAGTGGGCTGTACTTTAGAGGTTGGGAAGATAAGAATGTTGAGAGCAGTGCAGAAGATGGAGGTATGGCTTATAAATTATCAGGGGAATGTCCAAAGACTACCAGGGCCATTTGCTAATTTGAGTTAAGAGTATTATTCTGGTCAACAGGGACTGAAGAGTCAGCCTTGATAGCAAAAAGGAAAACAGCACCATTGAAATGAAACCTTCATATTACTGGGACAGTTGGTTCTGGTTAACTGGGGCTAAGAAATTAGTGGTGGTTAAAAATAAAGCAGTATTATTTAGGTGAAATCTACTTGGAAGTGTTTCCTCAGTGTCAGTAAACAGAAGCTGTTTTCCAGAAGCCACTGAGGTTGCTGGCAGCAAAACTTGGTAGTACAAGGATCATTCTGGTTGTACCAGTTTTTTTTAACCCTGAAGTGATAAGGGGATCAGCTGAGGCTTGGCATTGTATGGCATGGCTGGAGTCCCTGAAGAGAGCCTTGGAGAAGCTATTAGTGAAAGTGAAGCCTAGTTACTGCAAGAGACCTCGCCAGTTTGGGAGATGTCAGTACCATATGATACAAGATGCCTACCAAGAACAGTAGTGGCAGTGGAGTAGAGCCAGCCAAAGCCAAGAAGTCAAGATGGGCATATGACAGAAAGTAGAGCTAAAGAAATGAACCAAGCCCTTGGAGAAGCCCTGAAGATGGTGAGTAAATGCCAGATAATTTCACATTGACTCATTTGCTTGTTAAAGTTTGATTTTGCTTGGTTTAGAATGTGGCTGTGCCCTGGTCCTTCCTTCAAGAAAATACTTAACTTAATTTTGACATTTTACAGGAACCCATAGCTAAAGGACTTTGAAATTTTTTCCTCCTTTCCTCTCAGGCTCAACCCCAAAACTCCCCTCTTCACTCCAATCTGCTCCTCCTCCTTTCTCTTCAGAAAATGCAGGCTTCCCATATATATCAGCCAGCGATGGCATATCAAGTTGCAGTAAGACTAGACACCTCCTTTCTTATTAAGGCTGGATATGACAAACCAGTAGGAGGACAAAGTCCCAAAGTCATAGAAAGCCCCTCATCCCATTGTTAAGAGCCCAACAAGAAGACCAAACTAATAGCATATGTGCAGAGAGCCTAGGCCAGTCCCATGCAAGCTCTCTGATTGGAGGTTCAGTCTTGTGAAGCCCTGTGAGCCCAAGTTAGTTGATTCTTGTGATATTCTTGGTCTCTATGGTTCTGAAAATGCTTACTCCTCCTCTTCCATGGGATTCCTTTAAGTCTGCCTAATGCTTGGCTGTGTGTCTCTGTATCTGTTTCCATCAGTTGCTCGGTGAAGCCTCTCTGATGATGATTGAGCTAGGCATCAATATATGAGTTTAGCAGAATATCCTTATACATCATTTCACTGACCTTTTTTTGTTAGACATGTGCAGTTCTATCATAAGTTTCTAGGATGTCCAGCCTCTGGATTCTGGCTCTCTAGGTAGTGTCAGAAGTGGGCTCCTCTCAGGGCATTTGGTCTCAAGCTGGACAGTCATTGATTGGCCACTCACATAATTTCTGTGCCACATTTACCCCAACATATCTTGTAGATAAGGCAAATTGTAGGTCAGATGTTATATGGCTCAGTTGCAGTCACAATCACTGCATTGGAAGTTTTGCCTGGTTACTGGAGTATGCCAGTTCAAACTTCATATCTCTCATTGCTAGAAGTTTTAGCTAAGTGTCACCCTCATAGATTCCTTGGCGTTTCTATTGCACTAGGTTTCTAGCTTATCACAGGGATGCTCCTGTAGCTAGTGGTCTTCCCCAGTATTTTCTCCCTCCATCATCCACACCTAATTCCTACTATTCCATGCCCAAACCACATTCAGACCCCTCCCTGCATTCATTTGTGATGTCTATTATATTTTCCCTTCACAGTGAGATTCATGTGTTCTCCCCTCCCCCATTGAGTGTTCCTTGTTATTTAGCTTCTTTGGTTCTGTGGATTGTAACATGGTTATCTTTACAGCTAATATACACCTATAAGTGAGTATATACAATGTTAGTCTTTTGGGGTCTGTATTACCTCATTGAGGATGATCTTTTCTAGTTCCACCATTTGCTGACAAAATTCGTAATGCCATTGATTTTAACAAATTAATAGTCTATTGTGTGAATGTACCATATTTTCTTTATCCATTCTTTGGTTGATGAACATATAAGTTGTTTCCAGTGCCTGGACATTATGAATAAAGCTGCTATGAACATAGTTGAACAAGTGTCCTTGTGGTATGGCACAGCATCCTTTGAGTATGTGCACAGGAGCGGTATAGCT